TTTGAAAATGTAATAAGTTTTACGAAACGCGCCCGTGTCGCGTCAGACTAGAAATAAAAATGAATTTTGGAGAAGTGATTTTTTATTTACCTCCAACAGTGAAGCATAATGTACGAAAGATTGAGAAAATTCGTGTTAGAATTATTAATCTTACTTTTTCGGTCATATTTAATAATATATATATATATATATATATATATATATATATATATATATATATATATATATATATATATATATATATATATATATATATATATATATATATATATATATGAGAACAAGCCTGAATGGTCCCCAGGACAATATGCAACTGAAAACTCACACCCCAGAAGTGACTCGAACCCATACTCCCAGGAGCAACGCAACTGGTATGTACAAGACGCCTTAATCCACTTGACCATCACGACCGGACATAATGAGGTGATAGCCGAGGCTATTTGAACCACCCCACCGCCGGCACTCGGATAGTAATCTTGGGCATAGCATTTTACCAAATCACCTCATTCTTTGGGGCACACGTGAGGAACACAAATGCGAACAAGCCTGAATGGTCCCCAGGACAATATGCAACTGAAAACTCACACCCCAGAAGTGACTCGAACCCATACTCCCAGGAGCAACGCAACTGGTATGTACAAGACGCCTTAATCCACTTGACCATCACGACCGGACATAATGAGGTGATAGCCGAGGCTATTTGAACCACCCCACCGCCGGCACTCGGATAGTAATCTTGGGCATAGCATTTTACCAAATCACCTCATTCTTTGGGGCACACGTGAGGAACACAAATGCGAACAAGCCTGAATGGTCCCCAGGACAATATGCAACTGAAAACTCACACCCCAGAAGTGACTCGAACCCATACTCCCAGGAGCAACGCAACTGGTATGTACAAGACGCCTTAATCCACTTGACCATCACGACCGGACATAATGAGGTGATAGCCGAGGCTATTTGAACCACCCCACCGCCGGCACTCGGATAGTAATCTTGGGCATAGCATTTTACCAAATCACCTCATTCTTTGGGGCACACGTGAGGAACACAAATGCGAACAAGCCTGAATGGTCCCCAGGACAATATGCAACTGAAAACTCACACCCCAGAAGTGACTCGAACCCATACTCCCAGGAGCAACGCAACTGGTATGTACAAGACGCCTTAATCCACTTGACCATCACGACCGGACATAATGAGGTGATAGCCGAGGCTATTTGAACCACCCCACCGCCGGCACTCAGATAGTAATCTTGGGCATAGCATTTTACCAAATCACCTCATTCTTTGGGGCACACGTGAGGAACACAAATGCGAACAAGCCTGAATGGTCCCCAGGACAATATGCAACTGAAAACTCACACCCCAGAAGTGACTCGAACCCATACTCCCAGGAGCAACGCAACTGGTATGTACAAGACGCCTTAATCCACTTGACCATCACGACCGGACATAATGAGGTGATAGCCGAGGCTATTTGAACCACCCCACCGCCGGCACTCGGATAGTAATCTTGGGCGTAGCATTTTACCAAATCACCTCATTCTTTGGGGCACACGTGAGGAACACAAATGCGAACAAGTCACTTGATGGGTTCGAGTCACTTCTGGGGTGTGAGTTTTCAGTTGCATATTGTCCTGGGGACCATTCAGGCTTGTTCGCATTTGTGTTCCTCACGTGTGCCCCAAAGAATGAGGTGATTTGGTAAAATGCTATGCCCAAGATTACTATCCGAGTGCCGGCGGTGGGGTGGTTCAAATAGCCTCGGCTATCACCTCATTATGTCCGGTCGTGATGGTCAAGTGGATTAAGGCGTCTTGTACATACCAGTTGCGTTGCTCCTGGGAGTATGGGTTCGAGTCACTTCTGGGGTGTGAGTTTTCAGTTGCATATTGTCCTGGGGACCATTCAGGCTTGTTCGCATTTGTGTTCCTCACGTGTGCCCCAAAGAATGAGGTGATTTGGTAAAATGCTATGCCCAAGATTACTATCCGAGTGCCGGCGGTGGGGTGGTTCAAATAGCCTCGGCTATCACCTCATTATGTCCGGTCGTGATGGTCAAGTGGATTAAGGCGTCTTGTACATACCAGTTGCGTTGCTCCTGGGAGTATGGGTTCGAGTCACTTCTGGGGTGTGAGTTTTCAGTTGCATATTGTCCTGGGGACCATTCAGGCTTGTTCGCATTTGTGTTCCTCACGTGTGCCCCAAAGAATGAGGTGATTTGGTAAAATGCTATGCCCAAGATTACTATCCGAGTGCCGGCGGTGGGGTGGTTCAAATAGCCTCGGCTATCACCTCATTATGTCCGGTCGTGATGGTCAAGTGGATTAAGGCGTCTTGTACATACCAGTTGCGTTGCTCCTGGGAGTATGGGTTCGAGTCACTTCTGGGTGTGTGTGCCCCAGTTTTCAGTTGCATATTGTCCTGGGGACCATTCAGGCTTGTTCGCATTTGTGTTCCTCACGTGTGCCCCAAAGAATGAGGTGATTTGGTAAAATGCTATGCCCAAGATTACTATCCGAGTGCCGGCGGTGGGGTGGTTCAAATAGCCTCGGCTATCACCTCATTATGTCCGGTCGTGATGGTCAAGTGGATTAAGGCGTCTTGTACATACCAGTTGCGTTGCTCCTGGGAGTATGGGTTCGAGTCACTTCTGGGGTGTGAGTTTTCAGTTGCATATTGTCCTGGGGACCATTCAGGCTTGTTCGCATTTGTGTTCCTCACGTGTGCCCCAAAGAATGAGGTGATTTGGTAAAATGCTATGCCCAAGATTACTATCCGAGTGCCGGCGGTGGGGTGGTTCAAATAGCCTCGGCTATCACCTCATTATGTCCGGTCGTGATGGTCAAGTGGATTAAGGCGTCTTGTACATACCAGTTGCGTTGCTCCTGGGAGTATGGGTTCGAGTCACTTCTGGGGTGTGAGTTTTCAGTTGCATATTGTCCTGGGGACCATTCAGGCTTGTTCGCATTTGTGTTCCTCACGTGTGCCCCAAAGAATGAGGTGATTTGGTAAAATGCTATGCCCAAGATTACTATCCGAGTGCCGGCGGTGGGGTGGTTCAAATAGCCTCGGCTATCACCTCATTATGTCCGGTCGTGATGGTCAAGTGGATTAAGGCGTCTTGTACATACCAGTTGCGTTGCTCCTGGGAGTATGGGTTCGAGTCACTTCTGGGGTGTGAGTTTTCAGTTGCATATTGTCCTGGGGACCATTCAGGCTTGTTCGCATTTGTGTTCCTCACGTGTGCCCCAAAGAATGAGGTGATTTGGTAAAATGCTATGCCCAAGATTACTATCCGAGTGCCGGCGGTGGGGTGGTTCAAATAGCCTCGGCTTATATATATATATATATATATATATATATATATATATATATATATATATATATATATATATATATATATAGTATATTTTGGTAGCAGTCTTTCCTGTAGACATATTTTATTAAATATGACCGAAAAAGTAAGATTAATAATTCTAACACGAATTTTCTCAATCTTTCGTACATTATGCTTCACTGTTGGAGGTAAATCAAAAATCACTTCTCCAAAATTCATTTTTATTTCTAGTCTGACGCGACACGGGCGCGTTTCTTTATTACATTTTCAAAGACTTCACAAATACACAACTGTAGAACATTTTATATCTACATTTGATGAGGTGGGAAGGGTGATGTGGCATTACATTTGAGTAAGGGGGACCGAAAAAGTAAGATTAATAATTCTAACACGAATTTTCTCAATCTTTCGTACATTATGCTTCACTGTTGGAGGTAAATCAAAAATCACTTCTCCAAAATTCATTTTTATTTCTAGTCTGACGCGACACGGGCGCGTTTCGTAAAACTTATTACATTTTCAAAGACTTCACAAATACACAACTGATTAGAACTTGCGTTTCCCTGATTTTATATCTACATTTGAGTGAGGTGGGAAGGGTGATGTGGCATTACATTTGAGTAAGGTGGGAAGGATGATGTGGCATTAGAGGATATTAATAGGGTATTAAAAGTATCAACACAAGACAGAACACGAAACAATGGATATTGAATAGAAGTGTTTGTAGAAAGCCTATTGGTCCATATTTCTTGATGCTTCTATATTGGAGCGGAGTCTTGAGGTGGGTAGAATATAGTTGTGGACTATAAACACAACTATATTCTACCCACCTCAAGACTCCGCTCCAATATAGAAGCATCAAGAAATATGGACCAATAGGCTTTCTACAAACACTTCTATTCAATATCCATTGTTTCGTGTTCTGTCTTGTGTTGATACTTTTAATACCCTATTAATATCCTCTAATGCCACATCATCCTTCCCACCTTACTCAAATGTAATGCCACATCACCCTTCCCACCTCACTCAAATGTAGATATAAAATCAGGGAAACGCAAGTTCTAATCAGTTGTGTATTTGTGAAGTCTTTGAAAATGTAATAAGTTTTACGAAACGCGCCCGTGTCGCGTCAGACTAGAAATAAAAATGAATTTTGGAGAAGTGATTTTTGATTTACCTCCAACAGTGAAGCATAATGTACGAAAGATTGAGAAAATTCGTGTTAGAATTATTAATCTTACTTTTTCGGTCATATTTAATAAAATATATATATATATATATATATATATATATATATATATATATATATATATATATATATATATATATATATATATATATATATATATATATATATATATATATATAAAATATATAATAAATATAAAATAAGAAGTAGGAAAAATGATATGTGGAACTAGACAAAAACATTGGAACGCTCAGGTGATGAGAGGGTAAACAAACGCCACCATTTTAGCAGCGCCACAGCCGGTGATGTTCAGCACGAGCATTAAGGGAAAACCTTGACACAAACTGCACTTACCATAAAGAAAAAGCACCACCATTGACCGCCAAGTGCTCACATCAAGTCTAACTCTAAGAAACAACACTCAAGCCTTGACGCTTCTCCCAACATCCGGGGGAGAAAACCTTCACACAAACTGCACCTGTCATAAAGAAGATGAAGACTCACCAGTGTCCACAGTGTCCGAAGGTATTCACCTGGCCTTCACATGTGAAGACTCACATGTTAGTGCATTCAGGTGATAAACCTCATGAATGTCCAGAGTGTGGGAAGAGATTCAGTGAGCGTGGAAATATGAAGACTCACATGTTAGTGCATTCAGGTGATAAACCTCATGAGTGTCCAGAGTGTGGGAAGAGATTCAGTCGTCTTGGAAGTATGAAGCGTCACATGATGGTGCATGCGGATGAGAGACCTTTTCAATGTGCCGAGTGTGGCAAAAAATTTAGAGAACGTAGAACTATAATACAGCACATGGTGGTGCATTCAGGTGACAAACCTCATGAGTGTCCAGAGTGTGGAAAGAGATTCGGTCGTCTAGGAAATATGAAGACTCACAGGATGGTGCATGCGGATCAGAGACCTTTTCAATGTGCCGAGTGTGGCAAAAAATTTAGAGAACGTGGAACTATAATAAGGCACATGTTAGTGCATTCAGGTGACAAACCTCATGAATGTCCAGAGTGTGGGAAGAGATTCAGTCATCTTGGAAGTATGAAGACTCACATGTTAGTGCATTCAGGTGACAAGCCTCACGAGTGTCCAGAGTGTGGGAAGAGATTCAGTCATCTTGGTAATATGAAGAAGCACAAAATGATACATGCAGATAATAGGCTAAACACTTAGAGTGTTGAAGGTTGAAGGATAATGAGGCACATACAGGTATATTAACTTAACTTTAATCTAACAGTGTGTGTGCTATCACAATGTCAGTTGGATGTTCTTCAAAGGTAATTCAATTATGTTTGAGAAATACACTTCGCGATGAAAGGTAAAGATCAAGATATTTTATTATATTGTTCTTTTATGAAAGTTAGATGACCAAGCAAGAACTAGAGAAGCTGTCACTATAGGAAAATTCAAAATTGCTTATACGTATATAAATATATCTTTAGTTTAGCAAAGATAAATCAAAGTTTTAAATGTTTTTCTTCATATTTATGTAAATAATAATGTGCTTTCTGTTTTTGTTCTCTGTGAAAATTGATATAAAATTCAATATACTCTGTTGCTAAATTATGGACATTTTTGTTGTAATATTATTTAGCATTGGTACTGGTGAAGAAGACAGTCTGAGACGTACTTAAGATGAGACCATTTGATTGATAGGGAAATGTAGGTTAATCAGGGAATTTTATCATCAGATTCATATGCAAACTGATGTCTATTTTATATTTTTTGTTTAGGCATATTTATGAATAATACTCTTGATTATAAATATTTCACCGAGGAGTTTATTGAAGGCAGATTGGCATTTATAACTTGTCAGTCAAGTTAATATGAGATTTAAATTTATATTACTCTAGAAATTTACATCACTCTAAATTTACCAGAAATTTATATTACTCTAGCCTAACTTTATCAGTTATGCTGTAATTGTCTTGGAATAATATTTTACCCGATTTACCTGAGGGCCACTAACCCTAGTGGCCTCGATAAAAACGGGAAGCTGGCAGCTTGTTGAAGGTTCCCTTCCCCCCCCCCAATTTTCCTTGATTTTTTCCAGGTATATTTTGAAATTCAGCACATTTTGGCAGTTATGGCGTTGGTGGGTAGTCAGTTCCATCGATCAATAACCCTGTGGGTGAAAAAGCCTGATTCAAAGTTATATTAGCTTGATTAGCAATAATATTATCCTGATTCGTATAATCCTCTGTCAATTATATTATCCAAACTGGCAATTATATTTATTAAGATGATTGTGAATTACATAAACCTTACTGGCAATTATATTAGCATGACTGTCAATTTATATCAAACAGATATTTATTTATGTTGTGGTGCTCGTGGGTTCTATTACATCTATCAATTGAGAGTTTCAGATCAGGATTAGCATTTAGGAACAAGGTTTTGTACATGTAAATAGCATAAGAGAATGTGTAGAGCTAGTGTATATTTAGCATGTTCAGGGATTTAAACAGAGAGGCTGTGTGTTGTTTGAAGACAATTTTATTGTTCTGACAGCAGATTTTTATTGGGTGGTGATGAGCATCAGGTAATTTGCAGTGGATGAATGAACCCCATGCACAGATACCATATGTTCACATACCAACTCTAATTTTCTAAGAAACCTCTAGATTTTTAGCTCCAGCCATTTCATTGCTCTACAACAAATCATTTGAACTTCAAACCTTTCCTGATATTCTAAGGGGAAAAAAAGCAAGAGTAACCTTAGTCAATTTAAAATTTCCCAGCAAAAATCTGCTATCAGAATAATATCAAATTCTGCTTTCAGACAACACACAGCCCCCTTGTTTACCTCCCTAAACATGCTAAACATAATCTCACTCCACAAATTCTCTTGTGTCAACTACATTTACAAAACCCTATTCTTAAATGCAAATCCTTGTCTGAAACTCTTCCTGGGCAGATGTAATAGGACCCATTATCACCACACCAGAAATAAATATCTCTTCGATATCCCCAGAGTTAAACTTAATTTGTGTAAACACTCTATGCAAATAAAGGGACCCAGTTTATGGAATTCACTCCCTACTGAATTGAAAAGCTGTCCAACTTTTACATCATTCAAATCAATACTAAAAAGTACCTAATTTCATCTTCATAGTTTTTTTTCTTTTTGCCTTAAAATTGCACTGTATCTATTGCTACCCAATCTCCCAACCTTTTTGTTCCCAATTTGAACATCTTTACCATTGAGATCATTGCTGTTTTCTTATATGTGCTGCCATTCTATTGTATGGTGTTTATAAATCTTGTTTATCTGTATCTTTTGCTACCCAGTCTCCCAATCTTTATGTACCCATTCTGAACATCTTTACCATTGTGATCATTGCTGTCTTATATGTGCTGTCAATCTGCTGTATGGTGTCTATTAATCTTGTTTAAATTACTAATCAAGCTGTCAATGTAATCAATCAGAGCTTTAATATAACAATGTGCTTTAATATACTTACTTATCTCTCTCATCTCATTTTTCTCTTGTAATGTATCTTTCATTTATCAATTCTGATTGAACTTACCTACTTAAAATTATCTGCTAGATTAAGGACCTGCCCAAAACGCTGCGCGTACTAGTGACTTTACAAGAATGTAATTACTGTACTATCCAATGTATTCTCACAAACCCAATGTACCTTCTTGTATATATATAAATAAAATAAAATAAAAAATAAAAAATTAACTTTCTTAAATTACATTACGGAGTAAGAAGTTAATCCCTCCAATACCTACAGTCTTACCTTAGTGACAGGCTCCAGTATGTCTCTGTGAATGATTCCAGTTCACCCACTCTACCTATTAACACTGGTGTTACACTGGGCACTATTCTTCACCCTCTCGTCTTTCTCACCTCCCCCTCCCTTTCCATCCCGTTGCCATCATGAGGGGGCTTGGTTGGCGGATGCTAGAGTGTGATGCTCCATGGGACACTGTCCTCTGTCCTTTTGAAGCCTAATGCTCTTGCTGCCATCTTCGCTAATTGTGCTGAATGCTTTTTCCTATTAAGTTTAATTTTTCCTTCCCAATTCTCCTGTTTAATTGCTATTTCTTTGTGACGTTTTGCAATTCTTGATTATTCTTTTAGATGTTTTCTTCTGTTTAGACACCGGGTTTTTGGGGAGGCACACTCTCTCACCCGTAAAATTGTGGTACTCGGCATTGTCGAGCAAGGGGACACCTTTATTGTCAATCTTTTCCTTCATTGCTGAGCCCAATTATATCGTGCTGAGCTTCCATTATATCTTGCCGGATTGATGATTCCAATGGTTACGATTGTAGGGCGTATATCAACAGTGCACCCCACCAGACAGAGGCCTTTGTCTTGTTGGGTGTCCTATCCTCTAATTGTGGCTCCATGGTGTGTATGGGGCCTTGTTTGTTGATGAAATGTTTACTCATTCATTTACTTGCTGATATCTGACCCACTTTTTAACTTCTAAGACGTGAGGGGTGGGAGACCAGGCCCCCAAGTCGGACTGTGATGGAAAGCTGGGCTCTGTAGCCCACACTACATTGGTCCCAGATCAGGCAGCTCCTGACTCTCCCTGCTTGATGGGGTTCTGGGAGCTCTTCTACTACCTGACTTGTGAGTGCTTGGTCCACCAGGTCCCAACTACCCTTATTTGCTCCCCCCTCCCACCTCTGTGGCTAGGTTGAGCCCCAAGCTCCCAATGATGACCACCTCATCACATGGAGTGGCTCCATCTCTCATTGTAACAACTGGGCCTCTTTGTCCCCCCCCCCTCTTACTGGGGGTGCTCGGTGCTGTTCCCTCCGCAGTCACACTCACACGATTCCTTCCAGTTCTAATACGTTCCAAGCTTTATTTGGTTCTGCTACATGGACTAAGTATTTTGATCTTAGTCATGTTGATTCTACTCATCCTGATGATTTATTCATCCATAAACACCTAGTTGATTTGGTGGATACCTTTGTTATTTTTATCCCCACGCCTACTGATACATGTTTCTTTGCAGCGCCTTTTCGGGAAGCAGCTGTCTGCTTAGCCTCGTTGTCCTGCATTGGGAAACCCCGGTTCGGATCTCAAAAAATGCCTAGTTAAATGCTAGGATTTACACAGCTATTCTCCCGCACCATGTAGCGACTGGTGATAGCTGTCAATGCTATCAATCAGAGCTATTGATGTGCTTTAATATACCTAGTAATCTCTCTCATTTTTTTTTTTACAAAGTATCTGTCAACTTTTAAAAATTTTGCTACAATTTACCTACTTAAAATTATCCATTAGATTAAGGACCTTCTCGAAACGCTGCATGTACTAGTAGCTTTACAAGAATGTAAACACCATGCTATGTTCCCCTAACAAACCCAATGTTCCTTGTGTGTGTGTGTGTGTGTGTGTATATATATATATATATATATATATATATATATATATATATATATATATATATATATATATATATATGTCGTACCTAGTAGCCAGAACGCACTTCTCAGCCTACTATGCAAGGCCCGATTTGCCTAATAAGCCAAGTTTTCGTGAA